CTCCTAGAAGACAACTATGAACTCATAGGCAACCACCATCATTAGAAAATGGCATTTTTCACTAGAAATGCCATCATCAAGTGTAGACTTCACACTTACTAAGCACTGTTAAAAATTATCTATACACATCTGGATAACTACCTAAAATCACATAAAGCACTTACCTTCAAACTGAGACAATTTAGGAGAGAATGGCACAATACTGTCATTTTATGAAAAGAAAGAGTGAAACTTAAACACACTTGATACTGTAACCACAAGATGATGTGAAAACACAGTCTGGAAGGGCCAGGTTAAGTGTCTAGAGTCTTAGTAAAGAAAATAACAGGGCCCTCCCATCCATAAGAGGACCTTTGTTTCATTGTTCAGACATAGCATTAGGAGTGAAGTCTCTGGTCTGGCCCAGAGCAATATTTTTCACATTTCTCATAGAAGATACTGGGAAATCAAACATTCCTTCTGACAATTTCAATTTGCTTAAGAATACACTGACATCACAAGCTGATCACTAGAGATAGCTGTTAGAATTCAAAGTGGTGTTTATCCTAAGGAGATGGGAAATCCCTGGAAGGGGGCTTCTGGGTAGATCGTGCTGTGCTTTTCCTTATCCTGAGTCTAATTATATGGGTGTTTGCAAAAGAATATACAGAGCTATGTGAGCATGAAACGTGCACTTCTCCATATGTATATTTCAATAGATGTTTTACTTTTTCTAAAGTAACAAAAAGAATTTCAGATTAAAGTGTAAAACATTAGGCTGCAATTCTTGATTTATGACATGCCTCAATGTCATATAAAGTAGAAATGTCCAAATAGTTTAATACATCATAATATTTTATCATTAAGTCTTATCAAGAGGGAACGCATATATTTGAAAAAAGTCTCAATTACACATTGTTTAAGGATAGGAAAAGTTAACATGTGAGGCCATGTTTTAACTATAACAGAAGTCATTGAAGAATTAATGGTGAGTCGGCAGAGCACTAAATGAAAATACTTAAGTACTGTTTTCAAAGTCCAGGCAAAACACTTCATCAATCAAACTTTATGGCCAATCTGTAACTTGAGCAAATAGCAGTATCATCACCTACCCTGGACAATCTGTACAAAGAGCAAACAGATTATTTAGACAAAAGCATAACATGAGAAAAACCACATATTTGTATCTAAATAGGTTTTGTATAGCCCCTTACAGGAAAGGTAAGATGGAATTGCAATGGCTCATTGAGGATTGTAAAAAACCAAGATTTGCTGTAATATTTTGTTACATATATATTTCCCACAACAACAGCCATACACACGTACCCAATAAAAAAACAACTGCAAAACCTCATCAAATTCCACAATGAGATACCACCTCATGCCCACAAAACCAAACCAAAATAGAAAACCCAAGGGGCCTGGACATGTTTTGCTGTAATGCCCCATATCTTCTAACTACAAAATAGCTCTTTTAAAGTGTTTATTTGTTCTACTCTTACAACATGCATCTCATCTCTCTCCAAAGCCAAGGAAGGACCCAGGGCAGACAGCTTACCAAACCCAAATGTGAATATCTTCCTGTTTATTATCTTTTACACATATAAGGCCCGCTGCCACCCTGTCCAAGTCCAAAGCCATTGCCATGGCTTCCACCAGCCTGGAGAGACTTTCCCCAACACTTTCTTTAACTGGATACGTTCCCTTTTCTACGACTCAGTTTAAGTTTCACCACTAGATCTTTGGAAAGACTTTTTACCCAAGTCTTTTCAACAGCTCAAATGCCACTCTGACAGACACTTTATTATACATTTTCTGTTCTATCTATATAAATAGCCTATGAGTTCTTATGAACAGGGGCTATATCTTACTTTCTGTAAATGCAAAACCAAACCAAACAAACCATTATTTTCTAATTAAGGGAATTAATGAAAGAAAGCCATAGATTTGTTTCTAGACCATTTTAAAAAAATATTCCCGTCTTCCTGGCTAAGAACATACAAGTATCAGGAAACAAAGGAACACTGTTAACTAATGGTTAAGAGAGATTGCTATGTCATGTAAAGTTTTCAAGAAATCTGTGTTAGTCCCTGACAGGTAAGAAAGCCATAGGAGGTTCACCATAACCTACCTTCGACCCCTAAGATTCCCTTGATTTAGGGAAGCCTCTATCTTTTTTATTTTCTTCTGATAGTTGTCCCATAAATATCTGAATAAATCACATATTCCAAATAGTAAAGTTATGTGCCAGAGACTTGAGGTAACAATATCACATTTCATTTTCACGTGGCAAGAATTTAAGGAAGGAATTGCAGTACCCTCTTCCGCTCCGTGGTAGCATTTTACTTTTTGAGATGTGTGTGTCTAGCAAGTTTGTCTCTATAGCTAAAAACCTGAAGATATTTTAATCACACTCACCTCCAGCGTTGCTACTCAGCAGCAGCCACCGCCAATGTTTCTGAGATATACCTGTGCAGCTTACCTCATTTTTCTGCCAGAGTCCCCATTATGAAACTCAAACTCAATAGACTGCTACATAATGCACCTCAGACCTTCCTCAGCAATGATCAGTGATCAAGTAGGGTAAGGACCTGACCAACCAGTACATGAGGACAGTAACAGGAAAGAATCAGCTATTTTGGTTTATTTCATTAAGCATTCGTTCATAAGGGATTAGATAGCCCCATCCTTAAGCTTCTTTTCCTTCCTCTCATAATATATGTTAAGATTTGCACGTCTAGCAAGACTGGGCTCCCCATCTCCCAAGACTAACTGTTGCTGTTGTTAGGTGCTATTGAGTAGGCTCTGACTCATAGCAACCCCATACACAACAGATGAAAACACTACCGTTTCCTGCCTAAAACCTAACTTGTTTTTAACAGACTCCCTTAGTTTAGTGTAACTGTTTACTAGGACTGCTAGTTAGGTTGAAAATGGAGTGATTCTGGTAACTTGGACTCCAGATATTTTACTCAAGTAGTGAGATACCTATCAGAAGATCTGGCTCTGGAAAAGTTCTAGTTGATAATGAGCCTGACAGCGAATGTTACTACAGAATCAATTAGGATCACTTATTCTAACTCAAAACTGTTCCAGTTGAAAAACTGACAATGGAAGAGGCTAACCAACAGACTGACCTTCAGCTCTAAAGTACAAAGCTGGAAGTAGGGCACTGTGATTATGTGAGTACCATTTGTGGAGGAAAATGTGAAGAAAATGCTGTCTCAAAACAGATGTCTGCACCAGTTCAAATACTGAAGGAGGTACATTGCAGAACACCATTTCAGTATTGCTGGCTGACTGTCTATTTCTTCAGTGGAAGAGGAGTGCTAAGACCTTTAAAATGAATACCTTGAGTTTAAGTTTCTCATTTATGCTACCAAATCATGTCATTATAATAAGTCAATTTTTAAAATAAACTTGTTTGGCACTAGGAATAAAAATACAATGCAATCACTGTATGATGGTATTAATTCTATTTTATACCTGAGTGTGGCAGACCTTGATAGAACATTGCAATGCTCCATCAGCCTACCTGGTTAGTTAAGGGAACTTAGATCGTGCAGTTAAGACAAAATTTATAGCTGCTCCTATGCACTTCTTCATTTTTAAATAATATATTAAAGAATATAATTAATAATATATTCTAGTATTATTATTTCTTCTCATTTTTCCTTAACCACAAAGAATTAGCTGTGCAAAGAATACAATTGCACAACATTCATAAGAAGTGTATTATCAATATCCTCTTTGATAAAAAATAAACAATAAAACCAGCAAAAATATGGAAGGGATTAGGGAAGGAAATCAGGCGAAAAGGGAGCTAGGAATAGACAAAAAAGACAAATTAGCTGGGCAAAATACACTTGAAGACTTTAAGATTGACATCATTCCAGTGGAAATCTAGCCTCTCTAAAATGTATTCTTTTTGTGTTAATCTTTTAAAAACACAATTACTGAATGTAAGCAGGCAATTTTTATTTGACTCAAAGCATTCTCATAAGCAATAGGTGCCCAGAAATACAGACAGTGAAGAATACATTCAGAGCACAGAGTAAATAGTGGGAGTAGAGTTTTACAGTACAGTTAATGCTTAGAAATCAAGTTTAGAAACACATATAGATGATGAGTGCTTTTAAAACTGTCCTATTTTTTAAGAGTGATACTTAACATATAAATCTAGCACAATTTTAAAGTACTATTTTTCCTGCGTAAAATTTTTCTTATGCACATAACAAACATGAGTAAAGAAACCAGAGAGAGAGAATTTGAATTCGAATAGACTCTTGGTCATCATTTTAGCTCATCTACTCCATTTTACAGATGAGAAAATTAAGAATAAAGAACGTTGCCTCATCAATGAATAAAGTTTTATATACTCTAGACTTAACATCTCCATCATAGTAGATATAGTTCTATCTCCCAATAGAGGAATTAAAAGACCACATTTTCAGTATCTAAACATAATACAGCTGTTAACATGTAGATATTTACAAAAGGAAATAAAAGAAAGACAAACACTATCTCTTTAAAATCCACCCTAATTTTAGTTTTAGAATACTATAAATTATTCTAGGCAGGAGAGTAAATTTTACTCATAGCCAAAAAGAAATTATGTTCAAATATTTACAAGAAATTAAGTTTTCAAAGTCCTTAAGGATCTTTGCTCTTTTAATAATAGACCAATATGTATATACAAATAAAAAACTAACAGTATACTAATTACTAAATTTGTCTTTAATAAGAAATATATTAATTATCTGATGGGGATTTTAACATTCTCTATTACTCACTTATAATTTTTTGGGGGGAAAAAGAGTGCAGCAAGACATTACCTCAAGAGGAGCCAAAATCTATCAGTGCCTCATATTATGCTTTATCCTTTCACCCAAGTGGTTACTGATCACTACTTTATCACATGTAAAAGAATTGTGACATAAAATCAATTAGAAAATGTACTAACTAACTACAAGGCATTCAAATGGTTTGGCTGGGTATAATCAGGTCATAATTCATGACTGTTACTTTAATTCCAAGTAATGTGGTAATACATTATTCCAGAATTTTTTGGCACCTGGTAGCCCATTTTGCAAAATCTGTTTTGACTGCACTGGCATTTTGGACCTCTGTATTTCATGTTTTTTCCTCTCCCCCTCCGTTTTAGTGATAAACCTTTTTTTATACACTCTATCTTTGCTATATTTCATATATGCTTTAATTTTGCTCACCTTTTTTGTCTCTTCTCCTTCATCCTGTCTTTCCCACCCTTCATTTTCTTCATCACCTGTGTCCTGGTATTTTCTCTCTTCTTCCTCATTGGCCTCCTCTTCTCCTTCCCTCCCCCTTTCTTTCCTGTCTCTCTTCCCTTCTTTCCTTTTCTTTTCTGCCCCTTCTCCTTCATCTCCTTCTCTTTCCTCCTCTTTCCTTTCTCCTTCATCTCCCTCACCTACCTCCTCTTCCTGTCCATCTCTCTCTCCTATCTCCTCTACCCCTTCTCCTTCAACTCCCTCTCCTTCCCCTTCATCTCCCTTGCCTTGATCCTCTTCCCCTTCTCCTGTTTCCCTCTCCTTCCTCCTCTTCCCCTTTGTCTCCCTCTCCTTCCTCCTCTTCCCCTTCCTCTCCCTGTCCTTCCTCCTCTTCCCCTTCATCTCCCTCTCCTTCCTCCTCTTCCCTTTCGTCTCCCTCTCCTTCCTCCTCTTCCTCTTCATCTCCCTCTCCTTCCCCTTCATCTCCCTCTCCTTCCTCCTCTTCCCCTTCATATCCCTCTCCTTCCCCTTCATCTCCCTCTCCTTCCCCTTCATCTCC